ATTTTATTTATTTACTTGACAGAGAGAGCAAGAGCACAAGCAGGGGGAGTGGCAGGCAGAGGGAGAGGGAGAAGCAGGCTCTTCATGGAGCAGGGAGCCCAATGCAGGGCTGGATCCCAGGACCCTGGGATCATGACCTGAGCTGAAGGCAGCCACTTAACTGACTGAGCCACCCAGGCACCCCTATCTCTGCCTTTTTATTGGAATACTTAGTCCATTGCCTGTAATGTAATTATTGGTTTTAATTCTAAATTGCAATTTGTTTTCTGTGTAATTAATCTTTTCTTTGGAGGTTTTCTTTTCTCCTCTTTTGCTTCTGGCTTCCCATGTGGTGTCCATTGACACTGAAGTGGGATAGCCTCATTACCACTGGGTGATGGTGAAAATCCTGACTCTTCACTAGGCCTCCTCTGAGACTACCCAGCAGCAATGGAGTGGGGCTTAGTTACTTACAGTTTGGGGGTGCAAGTCCAGATTCTTCACATGGTCTCCATTGACACCCTTGTAAGAGCCCAGCCTTCTTACCAGCTGGCAGGTGTGAAAGGCCCAGCTCTCTACCTGGGGCACTCCGTGAGGGTGCAAATCTAATCTCCCTCTTAGTGGTGTGGTTGGGGGCACGGCTACAGATTTTTCCTGGTGCTTGCCTTGAGCTATTTACTAACTCCACTATTACCTAAAAGTTTTGTCTTGCAGGGCAGCCCCTTTCCTGGTCCTTTGGCTAGAGAGAGGCGGCTTTTGTTGTTTCATCTATGCCCATCAGTGTTTCTGGGTTTTGGACTTCGTGAGCTCCAAGTCTGGGATGTAGAGACAAAAAGGAAACTCCAGGATCTCCCAACTCTGTTGTTCTTAGAATCCTGAGGTCGCTAAACTACCAGCCTTCTTCTCTACCTGTCAGTCTGCTTTTTTTTTTTTATTCTAATATCCAGGATTTTTAGTTGTACTTACCAAGAGGAGTGGGGATAAGTAGTCTTTCTTCAGATGTTTACAAATTTACATCAGTTTTTCTGTTGCCTTAGAAGTAGGAATTTTTAATTTTTGTTTTATTACCTTTGGCTTCAAATTTACCATGGACCCTCTGAGGCCTCTTCTGCCCTTTTATTTGATGAAGTTTAGGTTTGCTGTGGCTCCCCAGTGCTCCAAACAGTGTGTCCTAATGGAAACGTGCTGTTGATTTTAAATCATCCTGCATTCAGGCCTTCACCCCTTCATGTATGCTGTTAGCTGCTGCCCTTCCTTCTATTCATTCCCAACTATAGGGTAAGCAAGTCAACAAATATTTGTCTAGAGTAGTTTTTGCAGGATAATCTATTGAACGCTTTATGAACAAACCTGTCTTCATCAATCAGTCTAGGATGGAAACTGAGTAATGGTAATAAATGAACTGGGAGAACATGTGCATGTAGGCATAAGTTACAAAATGCTGCAGGACAGGAGAGAATGACCCAAATCTGTATGGCATTTGGTTGTACCTTTTCCTGCCCTTACTCCTCTTACTTCCAGTTTTGTCACTTCCTGGCTTTGGAATTAGTGATGACTTGGCTCCCACATCAAGGCTGACGTCCTCAGCTGGGCACTCAGTTGGCATTCAGTTCAGGACCCACCTTGTCTTTCCATGCCTTTCCTATCCTTCTTCCCAGGAACTGCTCCCATCAGACAGGCTTGCTGCCATCCCACAAATAAGCCCTGTTGGTTCTGCTTGTGTCTGTACCATGCCGTCCTCCTGGCATGCACGTACTCTCTTCTGGGTATTAGACATGAAGGGCAGTGTAGTGTATGCTCCAGGGTACATCCCGGTTTTACTTCTTGCTGTGTGACTTAGGGTAAGTTACTGTGGCCCTCTGAGCCGTGGCTCCCCTGTTTGTGAATATGGAGAAGTACTTCTTTTCTCACAGGATGTACTAAGGAAGTTAATGTATGTGAATGTTGCTGAAGCCACAGGAATTCAAATAAAATAAAATTTGGGTTCCATTGCTTTGTTTCCTTAATTAAAATGTAAGGCTAAGAGTCACGTTCATTTCTTCTAGTCTTTGTCTCATCAGCAGTACACAATATGTTGAGAACATGGAAGAAACTAATTAGTTCATTAAGTAAATGTTTGAGTACCTCCTGTAATGCCCTGTGTTGTGTTAAATGCTGGAGCTCACAAATTTGCTGGACAGGACAGATGGGTGCCCAGGCAATTAAAATAGCACAGTGCATGCAGTGCTAGAGGTGTGTTCCGGAGATTTTGGGAGCACAGAAAAGGAGTGATGAGAGAGGATTCCTGCATAAAGTGTTGCTGGTAATTGTTCCTGGGTTTTTTGTTTGTTTGTTTTTTAGAACAGCTTTATTTAGGTATAATTTACATACCATAAGATCCACCCACTTTTTCAGTGATTTTTAGTAAATCAACTGGTTTGTGTAACCATTACCACAATCCAAATCTAGGCTGTTTCCATCACTTCCAAAAGATTCCTCATACCTGTTTTCAGGCATCGTGGTGAAGGATGGGTGTGAATTGGCCATGCAGAAGTGCGGGAAAGGGAGGGCTGGCTTCCCGGGAGTGAAGATAGCATGCGCAAAGCCAGGGGAGCATAAGACAGAATGGCTCAGAAGGCATGCCTATAAGCGGGTTTATTTCTGTAGTTTACAGGTTTGCTCCTTCCTGGCAGCTGTATTCTGGCTTCCTCGGTCCTTGGAGCTCAGTTTCCTTACCTGTAATGTGTAACTGTCATGCTGTTGGGCTCTAGCTTCCCCTAAACTCTCTAATCCTGTAACTGTCAAAACTTATGATGCCTTTGGTTGAAGAGAAAATAGCCTGTTCTTCTAAAAAACAATAGCCAAACAGAAAAACAGAAGAATTAGAGTGATGCTTATAGATCCTTTAATGAACTTTCTGCCCTTTTTTAGGTTTTCCTTATTATATTAGCAATAATACATACTTGGTAGAAAAATTGTGAAATGCAGGAAGATAGGAAGAAAACATAGGTCACTTATAATCTTATCATTCAGAGATAATTATTAACATTCTCTTGGTTCTTAGGAGGTTTTTTTTTTTTTTTAATTGAGAGAGAATGTGCATGTATGTAAGCAGGGGAGGGGAGGGGCAGAGGGAGAGGGAGAGAAAACCCCAAGCAGGCTAGACGTCCAGCACAGAACCTGATGCAGGGCTCAATCTCACAACCCTGAGATCATGACCTGAGCCGAAATTAAGAGTCAGATACTCAACCGACTGGGCCATCCAGGTGCCCCGTTCTTAGGATTTTTTTGCATGTGTGTTTATATACTTAAATATTGATATTGTGCTATAAATAAAGTTGTTTTTCCCCACATTATTAAATAGTATCAAAAACATTTTAAATGCTGCAGGATTTTTGTGAAATTAAAACACGGCCTGTGCATTTTTTTTAAACAATTGTAATAAAAGTAATAAAAAGACATGGTAAATTTCAAACTATGTAGAAGGAATAAAAAAAAAAATCTTTCTCTCCCTCCCATTTTACCACTTCCAAGAGTTAACAGTAGTTAACTGTTTCTTACATGCTTTCAGAAATTGTGTGTATTAATTTATATTCCATTATGTGGATAAATCATAATTTGATCTTTTATGGATAGCCATTAAGATTATTACATTTTTGCTTTTACAGTGCTGAAATGAATATTTTCATATGCCCGTCTTTGAATTCTTACAAAAGTATATCTGAAAGATCAATTCCTAAAAGGAATGCGTGGATCAGGGAGCACATTTCGTATTTTGATAGATATTGCCAAATTGCTTTTCAAAAAAGATTGTGCTAATTTATACTTCTATTATTAGTAGATATTCTCATGAGTCCCTCTTTGCTTATATCTTTACCAACATTGGGTATTATGTACTTTTTTGTTCTTTGCCAGTCAGATGTTAGAAAAATGGTAATTTACTGTTTTAGTTTATGCTTTAAAAATTAGAATTGTACTTGAACATTATTTTCATATGGATATTAGTCATTTTTCTATGAGTTACATCATATCCTTGGTGTAGGTGTCTTGAATTGTTCGTATTTTTACTGATTTGTAAGAACTATTTGCTGTTTAAACAGCTTAGCTAATGCAAATTGCAATTTTTTTTTTTTTTTGCATTTGCTTGTCTTGACCGTGTTCATGGTCAGATTTATTGGTCTTGTCATTTAGGGCTTAGGGATTTTTTAAATTGCAAAATTACCTTAAAAAGTAAGTGCAGAGAGAACCAAGTGATTCTAATAGTTTTCCAAGTGAGTACCATAAGGATATTAAAGAGGAATAAGAACTAATCCAAGTAACTTTTGAACACTGTATGTAGACTGCTTAACCTCTGACTCAGGAAGAAAAAGTGAACAGATCTTGAATTCTTACTGTGTTTGTCCTTTGCAGTGTCCATTCTAGTGAATCTATTGTATTTTAGGATTGAGCAAATAAGGGCTCCCTTGTTTCTTTCAGTATAATTGCAGTACAAAATAAAATAGTTATTATCAACACACAAACGACTTAATATCATGCAATACAGAACTATAATTAAGAATCTATAATTGTGTGAATCATCAAATATATCCCTACAATTATTGTAAATTTTAATTATGATTCTGAACTATTCACATGTAGCTATATAAGTTGTCTTTGTAATTTATTATTTGTAGTTGTTCATAACCTAAAGGAAAATAGTAAGATTTTATGTTGGATAGAGCAATTAAAATGAAACCCCTTACAATGGGAACTTCTTTGTAAAAGGAACTCTGTATACTACTTTGAGAACTCTGATTTTAATTTGGTTTATTTTTCTAATACTTAAAGATGCTATTGCATTCTGTGAAAGCTCTTTGAGAACTGAAATGTGTGATGAAGGGAATATAACTTGAGATGATAAAATGAATATTTTTAAAGAGGGGTCGTGAAGAGAAATATTTTTTATTTGTAAATGCAAGATTACTCACCATGTTTTGTGTGTGTGTGTGTGTGGTGCCTTTGTGTTTTGGTTGGTATTGATGACCTTTTCTCCCTATGTGCAGGTGTAATGGATAGGTAACAGAGAAACCCTCCTCACTGTCTCGTCAGGGAGGCAGAATGACTGAGTGCTTCCTGCCCCCCACCAGCAGCCCCAGCGAACACCGCAGGGTGGAGCATGGCAGTGGTCTTACCCGAACCCCCAGCTCTGAGGAGATCAGCCCTACTAAGTTCCCTGGTTTGTACCGTACTGGCGAGCCCTCGCCTCCCCACGACAGCCTCCATGAACCTCCTGACATAGTGTCTGATGATGAGAAAGACCATGGGAAGAAAAAAGGAAAATTTAAGAAAAAAGAAAAAAGGAGTAAGTGCCATTTTTCCCTATGCTTTTGATATATTTTAGATAAACTCTTACTTTAATCCTGTGTACCTATCTTCTGGGAATATGTCCAAAGACTCTTGTTTGACATTTTCTGTTCTTTACTTTTCTGGGTCCAATTTTTGTGTACTAGTTGTATTTTAGAGTCTTCCTCTTGAAAATAAAAATACCAAATTTCCAGAAATGGTAAAGTTTTTTGGTGGAAGTTTCTTATATTGGTTATTTTAAATAATATATAAGAAGTAGATACTGGAATTTTACTTACATAGAATATTACTTTCTTGGCTAGGTTGTGTAAGCCAGTTAGGGTACTACACTTTATTGGAACTGTGAAAAAAGTAGTTACTTGTTTGTTTTAGGCAAATGCCATAATGCATTCTATTTATAGTTCCTATTCAGTAGGAAAGATGAATTGTTTAAGCATAGCTCTTTAGTATGTTAAAAGCAGATCAGGTGAGTTATTTTAAGTATTGCTTTATTTTGAGTTTTATGGTATTTTTAATCTGTTTTTTGAAGCATAACATTGAAGTTAGAATGCACAAATTATAATTTGAATGACTTATCACAAAATGGACATATGTCCTTGTAATTATAAACATCTGGAAATAGGGTGTTATCAGCACCATAGAAATTCCCTTCCATTATCCCTTCAGGGGGAATCCCCCACCCTTCCCAAAGGTAAGCTTATTTCAGCATAGCTTGAAACTGCCTGATTTTGAATTTATCTAAATGAAAGTATATTTCCTTTTGCATCTAGTTTCTTTTTCCCAGTTATATTTGTTAGATTCATCCATGTTGTTCCATATGGCAGTAATTTGTTCATTTTTATTGGTGGATTTTGTTTCATTGCATTAATATACTAGAATTTACTCTGCTGTTGTTCATCATTTGGGTTGTTTTCATTTTTGGCTCATGAATAGGGCTTTTGTGAGTGTCATTGTAGGTCATTTATACATTTCTGTTGTGTATGCCTGGGAGTGGAGTTGCTCTCTTATAGGCCATGCTCATTTTAGCATTAGTTGATCCTGCACAAAACAATTTTGCAGAGTGGTTGTACCAGTTTACACTCACACAAGCAGTGTCTGAGAACTACATTGGCTTTATATCATGGTGTCATGCCCTTAGGGTTTCTGCCCTTATGGATGGTGTGGAGTTTGTGATATTTTAAATAGAGGGTAATTTGTGAAATATTTTTAATCTTTGTTATGAAATAGCTTGTAAGGCAGCTGGCTAAAGAAAAGAATAGGAGAATTCTATTTGGAGACGACGAAACCAAGCTAGGATAGCTCTAATATGATATCAAGCAAGTATCAGTGTGGAAACCAAGGCTCGTGATGCGGAGAAATGGGCTGATACATTTGGCCACCATCCAGAGATTAGGGAATCTCCTGGTTCTGTCCTCCACCCTAATGAGGTTTCAGTCCCTGCTGCAGTCTCCAGAAAGAACCTAACAGCTAGTGACAGGAGGGCGGGGTGTGATCAGGGAAGGGCTGGAGCGTCCAAACAGCAGTGCCATTTGTGTCATGGTGTCAGACTGCTTCCAGTTACAGGGACCAAATATATGAAAAAAATCTAAAGAGGACATGGTCAGATGATGAAAAAACGCTCTATATTATAGAAGGACTCTTTCCATTAGCCCTCTCTGTAGATCCTTTGTGGTGTATTCATAATTTGGTTTGCCAAAGTTCCACCTAAAACCAGTTGTAAAGGTAACTGACACTCTGCATTTCCCCCTCTTGTGGTCCGGAGATGTCACTGCCGCATCTCGTTTTCCCGGAGCAGAAACCCGTTTCATTACTGGCAGTACCCAGGAGGGATTGGCCAGGAAGTGAAAAGTGAGGTAGCCAGTGCCTGGTAGCACTTTTTTGGGAGGTCCTGTTTTTAGAAAGTTTATGGTCAGTTTGACATTAAACAGATAGATGACTTCTGTTTCCTGCTTTTCTGTTGCAGCTGAAGGCTATGCTGCCTTTCAGGAAGATAGCTCTGGAGATGAAGCCGAAAGTCCTTCCAAAATGAAGCGGTCCAAGGGAATCCATGTTTTTAAGAAGCCCAGCTTTTCTAAAAAGAAAGAGAAGGATTTTAAAATAAAAGAGAAACCCAAAGAGGAAAAACATAAAGAAGAAAAGCACAAAGAAGAGAAACATAAAGAGAAGAAGTCAAAAGACTTGACAGCAGCTGATGTTGTTAAACAGTGGAAGGAAAAGAAGAAAAAGAAGAAGCCAATTCAGGAGCCAGAGGTGCCTCAGATTGATGTTCCGAATCTCAAACCCGTTTTTGGAGTTCCCTTGACCGATGCGGCCGAGCGGACCATGATGTACGACGGCATCCGGCTGCCGGCGGTTTTCCGCGAGTGCGTGGATCACGTAGAGAAGTACGGCATGAAGTGCGAAGGCATCTACAGAGTTTCAGGTACTGGGGACGCTCACTTCTCTCCGGCGGGTTTTAAAAGTCATTTCCGTTTTTCAAAGGAAGGAAAATAATTGGCTTGTGAGGAAAACTGTGGCATGGGTCCTAAGTCGTCTTCATTTCCTCAATCCTTCCAGTTGAACAAAAATCCCCCACAGCACGCGGGCATGTGTGTGTGTTGACAGTTTGCTTTTTTAATAATACTCCCCTCCATCAGGACGCTTTCCACACGAGTTATTCACAGTTTGCTGCAGGCCGGCTGAGTCTAAGCGAAGCACATGAGTAGCATCCCTTCCCTCTGGTGCGCTCAGACTGGGCTTTATTCCTCTCACCTCCGGCCTCTCTGAGCCGGGCTCAGTGTTGTGAGGGAGAGGAGCAGTGGGGAGGACGCTTCTTGGCCAGAAGACACTTACTGACACAATCCTATTTCCTGAGTTGGGCTAAGGGACATGCAAATGTTCTTTGCTAAATGTTTAGGCCCCAAAGGCGAATGCTTTTGTCAGCCACCTGCAGCTATTACATAGATTAGTGAAATTGATTTTTCCATTTATTTATGTTCCCTACGTGTGAAGATTTAAATTTCATATTTGGCAGGAATATAATTCATTCGGGTGTCTAAAATCAAGCAAAATGTTCACTATGATACTATTTAAAGGAAAAAGATGATGCTTCTTAAAGTAGTAGGCCCTTTGTACTGTATAGGATGGTAGTCCTGCCCTGTGGCAACATCTGTGTTCCAAATCATTACCTTCCTGTGATTCAGTTTCTTAATACTGGAGATCTCTTTTATAAAACTTGTTGTTGGTCACATGCTGGTCATGATGAATCAAATCATACACATTTAGAATATAGAGAGATTACATGGGGTTTTTCCATTTATTTGGTTCGTACACATTTTTAGAGGGCAGATTTGATATTTTTGATTTTTTTTGGGAAGGGACAGGCATCTTTGGTAATTGGGGAACCCTTTACGTAGTCCCCTAGATAGCATGTCATCGTTTAAGAGTATTTTGGCTAACATGCTACCATTTTATAGAAAATAAAATCCACAAATTAGGCATTGAATTTGAATTTATAACTCTTTAGTAACACGAAAATAAACACATTTAAATGAATTTGAAAATTTGACTTTTAAAACTAATGAATTGATTTGTAAAGATTTAAACAATACTAACATAGCTGCTTCTCTCACATGAGTTTGATAGGCAGGAAGGAATTTTGTTTTAGGTGAAAGTTTCTCTGAAGAGTTTCTACAGCTTTGTTCAAAGGATTCTTTTGTCTTTGACCTATTTTTGATGTTTGCATTCTTTTGGAGAGTCAGAGTCACAGAACTCCTCTGTTTGTGTGTCAGAGCATTCAAACAGAGCTGTTCCCCTTATCATTGACTCCTGGAGGCTGAGCTGCTGCTTTGATCAATTTTTTATTATTTTTTAAGCTCTGACAGTGTGCTGCTGTAGATTAGAGTTTATGGTTGTGACTTTTCTGTGACTTTTCCTTCTTTGAATGCCCATAATAATACTGTTTGCTGGAGATTTTTGGCTCTTGCTTATTCATATGTAAGTTCCAGTTTTAAAACAAATATATGTCATTTTGGATATGCTCTTTCTCTACCTAGGACATTTTATCTGAAGTGTCCAATTCTTAGAAAACATTTTGATAATTTCAGAGTAACAAAAAACCAAACACATATTTTAATTGTTTACTTGTGTAGTTTTCTGGGTAAGCAATATGGGGGAGAAAAATCAGATACATATAAATAGAGAGAGGAGGTATTTGCTAAGAATTTCACTTGAAGTTATCACTCACTATGTTTTACTCATATTGTCATAAAAATTAGAAAATGGGAATTACTGAGGCACCTAGGTGTCTCAGTTGGTTAAGCATCCGACTCGATTTTGGTTTAAGCATCTGACTCTTGATTTCGGTTCAGGTTGTGATCTCAGGGTTCCTGGGATCGAGCCCCACGTCAGGCTCCACACTCAGCACCAGGTCTGCTTGTCCCTCTCCCTCTGCTCCACCCCTCCCCCAAGTAAATAAATAAAGAAAGAAATAAAATCTTAAAAAAACAAAAAAAAATGAGAATTATTTTCTAACTTTTCTGCCTCAAAATGAAGATTATATAAAAATAAGCTTTATCTTCTTACTTTCATACTTAGAGTTACCTATTTTATTTTGTCAGTGCTGGATAATTTACAGACTTATTATAATGGAAGGTTTTCACATAAGATAAGGAACGCCAAAGCCCGGATGTAAGCACTATTGATTATAAAATGCTGTTCAGATGAGATGACACTTGAATATTTGCATCAACCATTACAGTCGGCCTTAATCTGTGGCTTGTTTCAAATAATTGGCCTGAAGTTTCAAGTATCAAGCTACAGGAAGCTACCTTGTACTTTTATGAGCAGTCACTGGCACTGAATCCACATCACTTACATGCAGATTGGACTAAGGACTTAAAAACTTATAAAATGTTTGAAAAACAGTCTTTTTGTGTGTCAGTGTTTCTTTCTGCCCAGTAAGAAAAGCAGAACAATTTGATTTTAGAAACCCAAGTTTCACTTTTTTTTTGGTTGTTCCAGCTGTGTTCCAGATTAAGGAAACATAGAACAATTTGAACTTAAAAATAGAAATTAGATGGGGAAACTACAGTGTAGTTTTTCATATTATTTTCTTTTATAGAGGAATTGTATGCACCTTGAGCAGATAAATACTTCATAACTGGAGGTTTGTTATTGTCAGATTGGCTCTCCTTAGATCTCCCCCTAGGAGTTGGTGCCATGGTGAAAAAAGCTGTGTTTGATTACTTTCTTGATATTCTCTTTCTCTTTGGAATTTGAATGTTTTTAGGAATTAAATCAAAGGTGGATGAGCTGAAAGCAGCCTATGACAGAGAAGAGTCTCCAAATTTGGAAGAATATGAGCCTAACACCGTAGCCAGTTTGTTGAAGCAGTATTTGCGAGACCTTCCGGAGAATCTGCTTACCAAAGAGCTGATGCCTCGCTTTGAGGAGGCTTGTGGGAGGAGCACAGAGAGCGAGAAGGTGCAGGAATTCCAGCGCCTGCTCAAAGAACTGCCAGAATGTAACTATCTTCTGATTTCTTGGCTGATCGTGCACATGGACCATGTTATCGCGAAGGAACTGGAAACAAAAATGAATATACAGAACATTTCTATAGTGCTCAGCCCAACCGTTCAGGTACATGGCCTTCTCTGCACACATGCCCTCTGATGCTAACCCTGGGGAGTGTTGGAGACATTTTCTGTTGCTGAGTCGCATACAAAGCAGTTAACCAGCAAATGTAGACAATAGATTAGCCTGAATATTGGTCTTTTTCTTTCAGAATATGGACAGTGTCATCATATGACCAGCATGTAGCTTTGTAATTTGAGTATTGTACAGTCTTTGCTGTGGGTTTCTAAACCAGTTTCTGATGACAGTGATCCGTCATGAATAGAGGAGGAGCCCATGGTACCCACAATTACAGAGTTCATTTATAGAATTTTAAAGATTTCATTTATTTTTTCCAATAGCATTATTGCTTCATTATATCATGTCCACATATCAGACTCAGGTACAAAGGGGCCTAACATCATTTGGTTTGGTCAGGGATTTAACCTGGTGATTTCATTCATGGAGATAGATCCTAGGGAAGGGTGTTAGAGAAATTTAATCTGAGGAGGCATTTCAGGGAACTGGGTATTGTGTTAAGTGGTGTCTCTTTACAACATAAATAGTTGGCCTTCATTTATTGCTGCTCACTTGGTGCTGGCACAGAGCATATATTTTCCTTCCATTAGAATTACTGATATTTTATTGAGGCCAGACACAAAAGACAAAGAAATGAAGTAATGGTTGTATTTTTATTTTAAGCTCTCTTTTTGGCCAATATACTAGGTTATTGTCAGCCATTGTTATAATGCACTGGTGTAAGAGTGTCTTTTCTTACACTTTGATTGTTCATTGATTGTGTTTTGGAAGTAAAATCTTTCTCAGATTTCAGTTTGATCATTCAGACTAGTCAGGATTTCAGAATTTGGTAAATATGACATTGTTACTTGATATTACTATAACAGGACAATAATTTCATAGAAGGTTCAAGTGTATTGTAAATTTTAGGTAGACAGTAATTAATGTCCTGATCTCCTAGCATATGAACATCATATTTAAACACTGGCTGTGCAGATGTGCCCAGAAGGCGTTCGTTTCTTGTACTCAGCCCAGCTTGACAACTGCCATATTCCTCAGTGGATCCACTTGTGTGTTTTAAAAGGTCTCAAAATAACTTGAGAATAAAGAATATAAGATTTTTTAAATCAGTTAATATTATATTGCTAAAAAAGAGCAAATTGATGGTTAGCGACTTTTACATCCTTTTTCCTGTCCTTTTTTCTCCCCAGTTCCTTATGGTGCTTGAATACATGACTGAACTCCTACTACTTTTCCATTCTTTTCTTTCAATTGGCCACTAATTAGCAAGCATGTCTGGTCACTACTGAGGAAAACCGTCATTCCCATATCTAGGATTAAAGGATGTACTATGCAGCAGACACAAATTAAATGAAATGATAATTTGAATAGGTTTTTTTTTTTTTTTTTTGCAAATCTTTTTATTTATTTTTTCTTAGATTAGCAATCGTGTCCTATATGTGTTTTTCACACATGTGCAAGAGCTCTTTGGAAATGTGATACTAAAGCAAGTGACAAAACCTCTTCGATGGTCTAACATGGCCACTATGCCCACACTGCCAGAGACCCAGGAGAACATCAAGGAGGAGATCAGAAGACAGGTGTGTGTGCTCAGCCCCACGCTTCAGCCCTAAAGAGCCTACCTTTGCTCTGACACTTTTGGATGATTATGATGATTGACAGTGATGGTTAGGAGGAGGAGTTCTTGTTCACTGAGCATTTGTGTGTGTCTGGAACTATGTTAGACACATTGTTCATGGCACACCGAAGGCAGAAATTTCTCTCTGGCACTGTTTCATGCCAGTGAAGTCAGAATATTGTAGAAAGAACACAGGTTTTGAAATCAGAAGACCTGGCTTTAAGTTCTTCCTAGGTTTCTAATTAGCTGACTGATTTTTAGGCAAGTTGCTTAAACTCTGTAAACCTTGGTGATCCCATTTTAAAATGGGTCATTTCATGGTTTGATGTGAAGATTATTACCATAGATGAGATAATGCTGCCAGGCACGTTGTAAGGAGTCCAAAAATGTTAGCTTATCTGGACAAGGTTGCTGTTACCAGCCATATTTTACAGCTAAAAAGAAATTTGGGGAAATTAAATAACTGACTCTGTGCCACATGGTTACTGAACTATAGAACCGGGATTTGACCCCAAATCCTGTGCTTTTCCATTGTGCTACTTTGATAGAAGAAATAGTTCATTTGGTTGTGTGTGTGTTTAGCAAAACTGATTAAGAAATTCAAGACTGAGAAATCTACTTATATTTGATGATTATTACATCTTTTATTTGCATACATGTTATAAAATTCCTGTTTGGTTTTCTTTCCTTTATCTACTCTGAGCTCCCATTATTAATTGTTGATGTGTTGTGGGAAGGGATATGAACGAACTGTTACTGAACCAATGTAAATTAATGATGAGAACCCAGTGCCCATGCAAAAAAGGATTTTTCAGTCATATGCTTGAAAAAATTATTCATGCCATGATTTCATTCCCTTAATGATAATTGAAAGATAGTTGGTTGTACATCTTTAGAAATTGCATGTTTTATTTTAGGATGATAAGACATGGGACACCACTCAGTGTGTGGTATATTGTTTTCTAGGAGTTTCTTTTGAATTGTTTACATCGAGATCTGCAGGCTGGAATAAAGGATTTATCTAAAGAAGAAAGATTATGGGAAGTACAAAGAATTTTGACAGCCCTCAAAAGGAAACTGAGAGAAGCTAAAAGACAAGTGAGTAAACTTGTTATTTTGGTATATCATGTTTATAATGGAATATAAACCAAATGCACTGGAATTTTTTTATGTACTATTTTAAGTTAGGTTTCTTTTTTAGATTTTATTTATTTATTTGACAGAGAGAGACACAGTGAGAGAGGGAACACAAGCAGGGGGAGTGGAGGAGGGAGAAGCAGGCTTCCTGCCTATCAGGGAGCCCGATGTGGGGCTCGATCCCAGGACACTGGGACCATGACCCAAGCTGAAGGCAGATGCCTAATGACTGAGCCACCCAGGTGCCCCTAAGTTAGTTTCTTTTATAAACACAATATATACATGTTTTCTGAAGTGAAGTTCCCTGGTGGGTATTTATTTGCTTGAATGTTCCCATTAATGATTGTTGATCCTTCAGTTTGGTATCAGGGAAATGTTTAATTTAGAAAGGTTTTTACTTTTTTTTTTTTTTAAAGATTTTATTTATTTATTTGAGAGAGAGCGGGAGAGAAACAGCATGAGAGGGGAGAGGGCCAGAGGGAGAAGCAGGCTCCCCGCTGAGCCAGGAGCCCAATGTGGGACTTGATCCCAGGACTCCGGGATCATGACCTCAGCCAAAGGCAGTTGCTTAACCAACTGAGCCATCCAGGCACCTGGGGTTTTTTTTACTTATTAAATTAATTAATTAATTGATATTTTGTGTTGTATTGTAATCAGTACTTTTCATAATCTACTTGATACACATTTGACCAGTAAGAACCTTTTAAGTGGCTCCAGTGTTCTGACATGCACTCATCATTTTTTGAGGTTTCCTTTCTTTCTGGCACGACAGAATGTTCCAGGTTCATCTTGTATTTTTTCTACCCCCAGCCTTGAAGTTGAACGTTTCTCCAAGGAGCCTTGGTTCCTTTCAGTATTGAAATCAAGATCTGGGTACTCTGGTGTGCTCACTGCTACTATAGTAGCAGGGGTTCCAGGCCCTCAGTGAACATGGGTGGAAAGTAAACACACACACAGAGAATATTAAAGTTATGAAAGACGAAAAGTGACGAACCATTCCAAATTTAAAAACGCTACACAGACACAACTAAGTACAATAAATGGCCCTTGTGTTGGCTCCTGGACAATTTGAAGAAGTGTTATGAAAGACACTTGGGATAACTGATGAAACAGGTTGGACTAGAAAATTGGGCCAGTCTTAAAATGTTCTGATTTTGATAATTGTACCACGGTTAATATGAGCATGTCTGTTCTTAAAAAAATCTACATTAAAATATTTAGGTACAGGGGCACCTGAGTGGCTCAGTCGGGTAAGTGTCTGACTCTTGATTTCAGCTGAAGGTCACGATCTCAGGGTTGTGAGATCGAATCCCCTGTCAGGCTTTGTGCTGGGTGTGGAACCTGCTTAATATTCTCTTTCGCCCTCCCTCTCTCTCTGCCCCTCCCCCCCACTTGCACTCTTTCTACAAAAAGTAACAAAATTAAAATGTTAAAGTGCATGTTTGAAGAGAAGATGCAGAAACAATAAAGGGGCGAAATGTAAACTTTTTAATCTGTTGAGCATAATGGGGAATCACTGTACTATTCTTGTAATTTAAGTAAACTTTGTGCCCAGCGTGGGGCTTGAACTCACGACATTGAGATCAAGAGTGGCATGCTCTACCGACTGAGCCGGCCAGGTGCCCCTTAAATGATACCAAAATAACATAAAAAGCTCAAGAAGCATCTTATAGACTAAAGGTCTACATAAAACGCAGACTATTTCTGCAGGTATTGACTCAGTTCACTGGGATGACCTAGCTCTGGCCTTGTTAATGTTTGAACCATGATATTTAGTAGATAAATGTGCAAGTCATGGTTTTATCAATGAAAAGGGACAAACATTTTCTTAATTCAAGAATAAAACCAGAACAACCAATATTAACTTTTTTAAAGCTTTATGCCCAACGTGGGGCTTAAACTTAAAACCTGGAGATCAGAGAGCTGCATGCTCTACCGACTGAACCAGCCAGGTGCCCCTATATTAACATCTTCAGTGGCATCAAAGAAGGGGCGCCTAGGTGGCGTGGTCAGTTAAGCATCTGACTCTTGGTTGTGGTTTCGGCTCAGATCCTGATCTCAGGGTTGTGAGATCTAGCCCCACGTCAGGCTTTGAGCTCAGCCAGAGTCTGCTTAAGACTCTCACTCTCCCTCGGCCCCTCCTTCCCACTCTCTCTAAAATAAATAAATCTTTAATGGCATCAAAGAAATGTATATGTATAAGCACTTACATTTTGCTATAGGCAAAGGTAGTTTTGGGGGGTTAGTAACTGAAAGTAGTTTCATATAGCTGCTAAATTTCATCCTAATACGGAATCTCTCCAGAAAGTTGGTTTTTTAAAAAATTAAACAGATGATTTTACTGTAAGATGTTTTGTCATATCCTGCTTGGTTGTACTTGTCAACAGAAGCAGTTGGATAGTGAGACATTTCAGAGACGGCTGGGGAATTTGAGGCCTTTGAGTCAGTTCTTTGGAAACACAAAGAAGTACTGAAGATTAGGAGGAATTTTATTCACCTATAATAGGAAGACTAGCATGTGACTCCTGATAAGTTTGGGGTACACGAGTTAGACTTTTGATCTCTTCTGGCTTAGTGTGTGTTGCTTGGCTCTGGGACTGTGAGTTGCTCAGCCACACCAAAGCTAAGATCTCAGATCTCAGTGCCAGGCCCCAAATATTACTTCCAAGGAACATTAGTTAGCATTTATTAGACTGGGAGAGTGTGATCGTTGTGGTTGTGCTAACAGACAAAGACAACCCATGTGTTTATGTTGCTTTGAGGTTAGAGATTTGCATTTATGTGGAGGTTAGCTTTGTCAGAAAGGAAACATTCATGGGGTTTTTACACATGCACTCCAGGACTGGCAGACTAGCAAAAGCCTTTGTGTATTTTTCTTCGTTCTTTTCTCCTGCTTACCAGATTATCTATCTTTTGCTTCCTATGCCTGTTGTCATTATTGTTCCCTTCATGCTTCAGCCTGGAATCAGTGACTGACCGACCAGCCCTCATGGTTGTAAATGTTAACCATATGGCATTCCCCACCAGGCTTTAAATGAAGGGTCTCTGACCTATGACAGGGATAATGTATGTTTGGTTTTCATTACTCTTACTTCTGCTTCTGTCTTGGATAAAGGAGTTGTGACAGAGCAAACCAGAGTCATTATAGAAAGGGATAGATTACCTTTACCAATTTTCTTTATGCTACCTTGTTATACCTGCTCATTCATTCATAAATTTTCAAAAGGTTCTGTCAAGTTGATTTCAACTTTGAGGAATAAATTATTTTTTTATCTCCCCCCCCCATGCCCATAGAGGAATAAATTATTTTTAAAGATGGAAGTAATATAATTCATTATATTAATGACTAAAAAGTAAGAAAAACCACAAGATCATGTCAGTAGATGCAGAAAAGCATTTGGCAGAATTCAACACTTATTCATGATAAAAGCTCTCAGCAAACGTCATTCTCAGCCTGATATAGGGTGTCTATGAAAAAAATCTATGATTAATATTGTACATAATAGTGAAAGTCTGAATGCTTTCTCCTAAGATTGGGTATACAAGGCAAGGATTTCTGCTTTCACCACTCTGTTCAGCATTTTACTGGAGGTTCATTCTAGCTAGTACAATAAAGCAAGAGAAACAGGTATACAGATTGGAAAGAAGAAAGTCTTTATACATAGACTACGTGACTGTCTACATATAAAATCCTTAGGAATCTATAAAAAAAAACTAACAAGTGAATTTAGCAAGGTCGTGGGATACAAGATTAGATACACAGAAGTCTGTTGTATATCTTGATATTAGCAATGAGCAGTTGGATACTAGACCTAAAAGGAAAAATAAAGACCTAAATAAATGGAGTGATGTGTCTCAATATTTTTAAGATGTTAGGTGTTCTCAAATTGATCTGTGGAGTCAATCCCAATCAAAATCTCAACAGGTGTTTTTTTGTGGAAATTAACAAGCTCTTCTAAAACTTATATGGAGATACAAATGATCTAAACAACTGTGGAAAAAAAACCAACATTGGAGGATTCACGCTATCTGATTTTAAGGCTTACTATTCAGCTACAGTAACCAAGACAGTAGATATTTTATAAAAGTAGACATATAGAATAGGAAGTCCAGAAATAGACCCACACCATATATGGACAGTTAATTTTCAACAAAGATGATAAGACAATTCACTGGGGAAGGATTTTCTTTTTAATAGTGCTGGAACAACTGGATATCTATATGCCAAAAAAGAATAACCAAAACAAAACCTTGACTCTTTCCACAAGGTATACAAAAATTAACTCAAAATGAATCATATGTTAAGACCTAAAAAAAAAAAAAAAAACTTCCAGAAGAAAGCGTAGATCTTATTGACTTTGGCTTAGGCAGTGATTTCTTAAATAGGACACAATACCCATGAACTGTAAAAGAAAGATTTGTTAGGGCGCCTGGGTGGCTAAGTCAATTAAGGGTCCTGGGATCGAGCCCTGTTTCAGGCTCCCTGCTCGTGGTCATGCGCTCACTCTCTCTCTCTCTGTCTCTCTTGCAAAAATAAAATCTTAAAAAAGAAATATTTGTTAGATTACATTTTATCAGCGTGCTAAAACATGTTCTTCAAAAGACACTTAAGAAAACGAATATACAAATCAGAGGCTGTGACAAGATATTTTGCAGAACACATACCTCATAAAGGACTCGAATATATAAAAAACTCATAACTTAAGAAGAATACAATTCAAGGTTTTTTTTTTTTTAGACTTTTATTTTTTTTGAAGCAGATTTAGGTTCACAGCAAAATTGAGAGGAAGGTACAGAGACTTCCTGTATATATTCTGCTCTCCCACCAGAGTATGGTACATTTGTTACAATAAAAATTCAGTTCTAAAAAGGTAAAAAAGTTGAACAGGCACTTTACCAAAAATCATGTACAGATGGCAAATAAGCACATGCAAAGATGCTCAACATCATTAGTCATTAAAGAAATACAAATTGAAATCACAATGAGATACCACTACACACCACCAAGAATGACTAAAATTAAAAATACCAGGTGTTGGGGCACATGGGTGGCTCCGTCGGTTAAGCATCTGACTCTTGATTTTGGCTCAGGTCATGATCTTGGGGTCATGAGATAGAGCCCCGTATCGGGCTCCATACTGGGTGTCTAGCCTGCTTGGAATTCTCTCTTGCTCCCTCTGCCCCTCCCCCTGCTCTCTCCCTCTCTGTCCCTGTCTAAAAAAAAATAAAAATAAAAATCCCAGGTGTTGACAAGAACATGGGGCAACTGGAACTCTCATTGTTGCTCTTGGTAATGCAAAATGGTATAGTAATTTTGGAAAACAGTTTGGCAGTTTCTTATAAAGTTAAACATACGGTTACCATATGACCAAGCAATCCTGCTTTTAGGTATTTAAAAGAAGAAAGCACATACCCACACAAAACCTATCCGTGTGAAATGTTCATAACAGTTCTAGTTATAATAGCTCAAAATTAGGAAGGACCCAAATGTCCATCAGCTGGTGAATGGATAAACAAATTGGTGTATCATGGCATATTACTCAGCAAACTACTAATACAGACAACAAAATAGATGAATAGTAAAAGCATTATGCTATGTGAAAGAAGCCACATAAAAAAGATTTCTTATGGATTGATTCAATTTATATGAAACTCAAGAAAAGGCAAAACCATAGGAATGGGAAATAGGTCAGTGGTTGCCAGGTGCCAGCAGATGGTGAGAGGTACTTTGTGTGGTGATGGAAGTGTTTATATCATGATTGTGGTGGTGGTTACTTGACTGTATTTATTTATCAAAATTAATTGTGTACTTAAAACCGACACCCTCCAAAAAAAAAAAGTGTCACAGAAAGTAATTTTATATGGATGGGTTCCAGGAACGGTGAGCACATTGACCAGAATTGAACATTTTTCATGGTGCAGCCACAAACTAAGATCCATATGTTATGTTCCAAGCCCAGTTAACAAATTCTCCTCTATCCAGAGGAGAATTACTGTTACTTTTTCAACTCTAGGAAATGAGAAGGAAACTTCTACATGGTGATGGTGTGAAATTGTTGGATATATGTTACATTTGGGCTGACCAGTTTTTCATTTGTCTTATTTGACAGGAGTGCGAAACCAAGATTGCACAAGAGATCGCCAGTCTTTCAAAAGAGGATGTTTCCAAAGAAGAAATGAATGAAAATGAAGAAGTTATAAATATTCTCCTTGCTCAGGTAAGCTTAACTTTTTTTCTCTATTTTGCAAGATCCTTTTTAAAAAATAAAAATTGTACATATTTGAAGTATACAGCATGATGATTTGATAGACCTATATGTACATAGTGAAGTGATTACTACAGTGAAGCTAATTAACATTGTCTTCTCATCTAGTTACCTTTTTCTTTTGTGATGGGAGCACCTGAAATCCATTCCTTTAGTGTATTTCCAGTATTCAATACAGTATTATTAACTATAGTAATAGATAGTCTAGATCTCTGGACTTACTCATCCTTTGTAATTGCAACTTTGTACCTTTTGACCAACATCTCCCCATTTTCCCCATCCCCAGCCTCTGGTAACCACTGTTCTGCTCTCTACTTCCATGAGTTCTACTTTTTTTTTTTTTTTCAAAGATTCCACCTAGAAGTGAGATCATATAATGTCTGTCTTTCTCTGGCTTATTTCACTTAGCACAATGTCCTCCAGGTTTATCCATGTTATCAGAAATGGTAGGATTTCCTTCCTTCTCATGGCTGAATAATACTCCTGTGTATATGTCTGTACACACCCCACATCTTCTTTATCCATTTGTGCATTGACCATTGGGTTGTTTTCATATTTTGACTATTGTGAATAATGCTGCAGTAAACATGGCAGTGCAGGTTATCTCCTCAGTATCCTTTTCATTTCCGGTATAAACCCAGAGGTGGAATTGATGGATCATATGGTAGTTCTGTTTTTAACTTTTTGAGGAAGCTTCATACTGTTTCCATAGTGACTGTATCGAATTGCATTCCCACCAACAGTGTATAAGAGTTCTTTTTCTTATTCCTTAAAAGAGTAAACATAGAAGTGTATCAATATATTTTTAAAGATTTTATTTATTTATTTGAGACAGAGAGAATGAGAGAGAGAGAGCACATGAGAGGGGGGAGGGTCAGAGGCAGAAGCAGGCTCCCTGCCGAGCAGGGAGCCCGATGCGGGACTCGATCCAGGGACTCCAGGATCATGACCTGAGCCGAAGGCAGTCGCTTAACCAACTGAGCCACCCAGGCGCCCTACCTTTTTTTTTTTTATAATAGCCATCCTAACAGTTGTGAGGTAATGTCTCATCATGGTTTTGATTTGCATTTTCCTGATAATAAGTGATGTTGAGCATCATTTGATATATCTGCTGGTCATTTGTAGGTCTTCTGTTTAGAAATGCCTATTCAGGTCCTTTGCCCATTTTTGAATTGGGTTGGTTGTGTTCTACCTGTTGAATTGGTTGCATTCTTTATAAATTTTGGATATTCACCCCTTATCTCATACATGGTTTGCCAATATTTTCTCCCATTCCATAGGGTGTCTCTGCACTCTGGTGACGTTTTCCTTTGCTGTGCAGAAGCTTTTTAGTTTCGTGCTGTCCCATTTGTCTATTTTTTGCTTTCATTGCCTGCTTTCTGGGTCGTATCTAAAAATTCATTGCCTAGACCAGTGTCAGTGGACCTTTTCCTTATGTTTTTTTCTAATAGTTATATGGTTTAGGTCTTATATTTAAATCTTTTTTTTATTATGTTAATCACCATACATTACATCATTAGTTTTTGATGTAGTGTTCCATGATTCATTATTTGCATATAACACCCAGTGCTCCCTGCAGAACATGCCCTCTTTAATACCCATCACCAGGCTAACCCATCCTCCCAGCCCCCTCCCCTCTAGAACCCTCAGTTTGTTTTTCAGAGTCCATCGTCTCTCATGGTTCATCTCCTCCTCCGATTTCCCCTCCTTCATTCTTCCCCTCCTGCTGTCTTTTTTTTTTTTAACATATAATGTATTATTTGTTTCAGAGGTACAGATCTGTGATTCAGCAGTCTTGCACAATTCATAGCGCTCACCATAGCACATACCCTCCCCAATGTCTATCACCCAGACACCCCATCCCTCCCACCCCCCCTCCAGCAACCCTCAGTTTGTTTCCTGAGGTAAAGAACTCCTCATATGATCATATGATACATGTCTTTCATATGATACATGTCTTTCTCTGATTGACTTATTACGCTCAGCATAACACTCTCCAGTTCTCTCCACGTCGTTGCAAATGGCAAGATTTCA